GTTGGGTTCAAACATTTTCGTGAAGGGTTGGTTTGGAAGAGAGAAGTACATTTTCCCCCAGTTTTGTATTGGAAAAAAGTTCAAATATATCAAATGACAAGGATCTATATGTCAGTTATATAAAACAAATATTTAGTGGCTTTAAATTGTGCAATGGGAGGAATATTATCGCTCGGTAAAATCTGGACTTTTCCAGTTCACTCGGCTTCGCCTCGTGAAATGGAAAAGTCCAGATTTTACCTTGCGATAATATTCCTCCCATTCCACGCTGAGCCACTCACTATTTGTATAATGAACAGCGTATCCCCCACGAACACATAGCGTACTCGTACCGCGCTCGACCGATGCGGGACCGATGCGCTGCGTATTTATAACTTAGGACCTGTGTAACAGCGTACGCAGCGTAGTTTTGTGCATGCTCAAAACTATCCGGCCATGCGTATGCGTATCCGTACCATGCGTATGATTGCGTACATAAAACTTACACAAAAAGATAGAGATGCATATGAGGTGCGTATTGTGCGTTCGACTGCGTATGAAAAAAATGTCAATGCGCAACCCATAAGGAATTAGGATACGCAGAAGTGTGACAGGGCCCTAATATACATGTAGCGGTGGTACGTAACATTAATTAAAATGTAATTAAAAAAGAAAAGTGTTTAGAATTTCGATGAAGTTGTTTTGAAAGTGACATTTTGTTTGATTAAACGTACACCTTGAGTCAACATTTCCAAATGTTCAATTTGTATTATGACTTTAACTTCAAGGGAGAACGTAGTTCAGTATATCGCGGTAGTTGTAATGATTATTTGCCAGTGTGGACAGTAATTGACCTATCGCCGTTTGCGAGTTAGCCACGCCCCTTAGACAACCCTATGGAATTTTTGTACACTAAGTTTATTTTGTCTCAGATTGTGCGCGTTCCGCGTCCATTTGTATATCATGTAATTGGACAACATGTCACAAGCTGCGTTGACGCGATTCTAACTCGATTCTACCGCGATAGGTCAGTTCTGTCCCCTGGTAAAACTGTTCAGGGACAGAACTACCTCGTTAAAAGTGTCTTCTGGCCCGTTCATTCTGTCCTCCAGGTATTCTGTGAGCTGCTGCTTTGATAAATGGCCTATCATGAAGCTATCAAAATGAAAACAACTTTCTTTTGCAGAAATGGCACGAGTAGTAATTGTCAAGGATGTGTATGCATATCACTACTGCTAGGCTGCTTCACGTCTTATCTGCACTGTGCGCAGCTACTGGAGGGGGCGACTCAACCTCAATTCGCGTGGGCCTTTAATGAAAACCATAGAATAAAAACCATAGAATCGGATCGCGATCAGCGATCTGGCGTGTTGATTTATAACCAGTGGCGTAGCCAGGAGCTGGAACATTTCATGGGGGGGGGGGGGGGGGGGGGCGTCATGTGGGGGGGGGGGGGGGTCAATCGCGAGCGCGAAGGGCGAAGCCCTTACGACGTGGGGGTTCGGGGCCCGCTTAAGGGCCACGGAAAAAATTGGATTCTAGATGTTCTGTGGTGTGATCCGAAGCAATCTCTTACCACTTTCCTCCATGCTTTAACTAATATTTTCTTAGCAAAAGATAATTATTTGAACATCGTTTTCGAGGTTGGAGTCATTGAATCAGCTATCGGTATTCTGAGCTATAGGCGTGGGATTCTCGATGCTCTTTGGTGTGATCTGAGGCAATTTCTTACCACTTTAACCAATAATTATCTTAGCACAAAAGATAATAATTTAAACATAATTTTCGAAGTTTTTTCAGCTAAAGGCATACGAAAAAAATTTTGAACATTGTTTTCGAGGTTGGAGTCATTGAATCAGCTACCAGAATTCTGAGCTATAGGCGTGGGGTTCGGGGCCCGCTTAAGGGCCCCGAAAAAATTGGATTCTAAATGCTCTGTGGTGCTATCTGAGGCAATTTCTGACCACTTTAACCAATATTTTCTAAGCAAAAGATACATTGTGGTACATAATAGGGCCCTGTAAAAGAGACACGAGTTCAAAAATCTGGGGGGGGGGCGACATTTGATATTGTGTCCCCCACCCTTCAAAAAGGGGGGGGGGGCAGTCCCCTGTCCCCCCAGGATTGACGCCCATGGCGTCATGTAGATCAATGATATTTTTTTTAGAAACTCAAAATCTCAGCTGTCGCCCCCCCCCCCCCACGCCCCCTGTGGCTACGCCACTGATTTCAAGGAATTTTAATTGGTCTATTATTATTATTTAGCTTATATGAATGAAGGAAAAAGTTTGTGCGTGGCCGATTCGCGTGATATCGCTGACTGAAACTGTGTGACCCACGGACCACCTGTCTATAATACGTGTTCCGTGGTGTGAGCGAGCAGTGCAGTGGGTGTTAATACGCATTTGTCACGCCGGTTGTCAGCTTACTGGTCCGCGGTCTCCGGTCGAAGGGTCGTTTCTCAGTGGTCATCATGTGGATCATTCGCAACTTTTTAGATTTAGATCAATGATAATTGTTTTAGAAACTCAAAATCTCAGTGGGGGGGGGGGGGGGGGGGGGCGACTGGGGGGGGGGGGGGGGACAAGGTTCCACATACATGGCGGTCGCCCCCCCACGCCCCCCGGTGGCTACGCCACTGTTTATAACTGCAGTGGCGTAAATCTGTGCCAGCGAGTGGGGAAGGGGGGGATGGGCGGTGACCAAAATCAAAAATTGCCCGATGTGGATACAGTTACCAGGGAGACACGTTTCCGTTGGGCAGGGGGACCAAATAACCTGCAGCAAAACATAATTACCTTTTACAACCGGCACCGTAAAAACGCATAATGGGGGCCTGGAACCATCTTTCAAATAGGGGGCGCTCTTCAAAACCAGCCATTATGCAAACAAATAAGCATGATGTACCCATTTTCAGGGCGCATTGGAAGGGTTTTGGGGGTTTGTTTTTGTGTTCCTCGTTCATTATCATATCTCTCTATACCATAGTGGGAAATGGATACTGAAAACAAATTATCAGACATTTTTGGGCCAGTTTTGTTTTTATCGCGAGAGGGCACATTAAGTGCGCGAGGGGGGCACATTTATGACCGCTAGGGGCACTTGCCTAGATCTTGGGGGCAAGTTCCCCTCCCCCCCCCGGTTCCGCCGCCCCTGCCCCTCGATTACTGCAGCAGAACGATATGCATGATGTACATGTGCGTTCGTCTCCGCGTGACATTTCGGGGATCCAAGATACGGGATAAGTTGTTTCAAGGCGTTCTGTCCAATCAGCGTGTCCAATCAGTAGTCGTACAGCCATAGGATCAGGAGGCTCTAAGCAAAACACACAACATTCACCGAACTCTCCTCCTTTAGTGCCGCCGACCCTGTTTGTTCATATGCCTTAAAATTCATCTAGTGTAGAGTCGGAACTTATAAGGCCTACTCCAAAATTTGTTTGGCTATTTTTAAGGCTGCTTTGGATGTGAAATATAACGATTTCTTTATTGACGTCAAAGACGTACTTTTTTACCGTTCTTTTCAACAGATTAAACAAATATTTGTTCCAAAGAACGCTCACTATTGTTCGTTTTGTATTTGTTTATTTTTTATTTTTTTATTGAGGTGTCTGCGAGTTTACTGGCTTTTTTGTGCCTTTTTTTACTCGACTATGATAGGGGGCGGATAGTGCAATCCAATTGATAAAATAGGCCTAATCATTCGAAATTTGGAAAACAATTATTTCATTTCTTTCTTTTTCCATGGACTGTATAGTTTGCAAAAAAAAGTAGTATTAATTTAAACTCACAACACAATCGATTGTGACTCTGTGCATGCAGGCAAACGTAAACGCATCCAAGCATGTTTATTTATTATGACACGCGTCGTCAACTTGTGGTGTGGAACGCCGATGATATGACAACGCGATTACTCATCAAGCAGAAAACACGAGAGCCTCAGCAACAATTCGGGGGCCCTGATAGCAGAACTGGGGAGGGGCTACTGCGCTGTGACCTTTTCAGAGGCGTTACAAGAGCGCGGACTTAGACAAATGAATAAGTCAGTGATCGGTTACGGACCATTAGCGTGTGGGGAGAAAAAGTGCTTTCCTTATGGTAAATGATTTACTCCTATGGGCTTCATCCCCCGCCATTTTTAGACAATATTATACCACTGCCGTTGCCGTGCACTGAATTTCAAGAAGTTTAAAATGGAACAGCCGCAATATATTGTGCGTCATAAAATGCCACTACTTATTTTAGAGTTATTTCACTTAAAATGTGATGGTTTAACGCCAGTGGTAGTCATAGTGAGCCTTCTAAGGACGGGAATCCCTCAAATTAAAATAAAAACATCGCAATTATTCAAGAACGCAATTTCCTGACGAACTTTTCGAGTTTTCTTTCATAAAGAACAATATAGGGAAAACGTTTTGTGGATACACCATGTTAAATCACTGTGTGTAGGGCAGGCCTACCCTGATTCTAACCATTGGACCTGTTATTCCTCCATAAACAACTACTCTCCACTGCAGAGGGTAGCTGTATAGTATACCCCTCACTTGTTACTGCCAGGACTATTTTGTCAGTAGGTGGTTTTGCTATATCCTAGCGCCCTATCTGAGGTCTCACTGGACGGAATGGAAAATATATAGATATATATATATATCCAATGAAATCGTCTTCTATCACAATTCACAGTGCTCGATACATCTCTGTAGAGCTATAACATGCAATAAATTCAGAATATGAGTTAAACAAACTTTGGCATATCTCTCTTCTGGACAGACTGTTTCGTACCATAAGGCACTCATCAGCAGAATGACGAAAAATAGAATACAAGTAGCATCTTACCTTATTTCGAATCAAGCGCGCGCACGCGTTACGCGCGTTACGTCATTGAAGTTAGTACGCGTTTACGTCACTGAAGTAAGAACACATCTGTCTCGATGCCTGCACTTGGAGACGATTTCGCTTCTCTTATTCAGTGTACCTAGATCTGGCCTACATATGATTATGTACTTCTCTGCTATACACAAATTGCATCTCTTGTTTACGTTTACGTTAGAGAATGGCAGTGCAACTGTCGTGTTTTATTTTGTGCAATGAACTGTTGTAGGCCTACACATTTATTTCCTGCTTCAAATACTTATCATACAGTCACCACAATATGTCACAGTGTTTGCAATTTAATTCAAACAGTTATTGTACATTTTATTCTACAATTATTATATTTCAGCTCAAAAACATATTTTTTCAAAGCAGCTCAAATCAACATTTTAATAGTTTTTGCAAAAACAAGTATGTGAATCGGTGATTTGTAACTATAAACAAAAGCATGCATGCACTTTACAACTGAATTTCGTTCATAGTACTTCTCATCTATGATTAGATGTAACTGTGTGCAAAAGCTTTCTTTGCATTTAACTCTCTTCAGGAAACTATAACGCATATGCTTAACAGTTGAACTTCTCGCAACCTACACCCTCAAAACGCTGGTTAAAAATGTATTGGTTTAAAAATGTGATTAAACCTTTAACCAACGTTATGTAAATTTTGCCCAACGTTGGTTATTTTATTTCAACCAACTGTTAGGCAGTTCACTTGTTAAGCAACAGTTGGGCAAAATGGACAATGTAACACAAAGTTGGTTATAATTTTAACCGACCTTTTTAACCAGAAAAAAATTTAACCAGCGTTTTGAGAGTGTAAGGTAGTTTAAGTCTTCTTTTAAATTTTTTTTTTTAACAGAAAAAAACAATACCTTTTTGAACAGCCTGGTCAAGACAAACATGATTCGTACCCTTGGCTGAAAGAGATAAAGACTAATTGATGTAAAAAGTGATTATGTAAAAGAAGTGATTTTTATCCTTTCCAATAGTGCTTATAAAACACTGAAACATTTTACTGTAAGCCCACTGTGCAACTGTCTTTCATATGTGCAATTTCTTTAATATTTTGACATATTTATGATGCTGCAAAGGTTTAGAGGATAAGATACCTGTTCAGGTGGAAAATAAAAGGTATTTCAATCAAATTCATTTGTACTCTTGTCATATTCTGCGTCGTGTTGTTTGTGAGGATTAGGACACAATGCGCTACATGCATTTCATGCACAAATAGTTACAGTGTAAATTAATAAAAGTGCTATTTTTCCCCTTGCTATACAAGGTTACCCACTTTTGAATGAAACAAACTAACTGGCCAACGTTTTACATCACAATTTTTGAATCATTTTGCGGCCCAACAAATCAGATCTTCACTGGATAGACTGGTCATACGCTCCCAAGTCAGAATCGATAATGTTGTAACAACCAGTCTACTAACAGGGAGGATTTGCTTGTGCGCAAATTCAACCCAAAATAAAAGCCTTTTGAGGGTTGCCGATTCCGAGAATCAAGAAAACTAGTAATATTCAGTTAAAATAAAACATACAAGTTACACAGACATTTAAAATGTGTAAAGATGAGGACGGTCGGACAGTAGTCTGTAGTATGTTAAGCCTCAGAATATTTTTGCCTGATGTTTAAATCCCCGCACAGTAGGTGTCCGAGGGGTCGCATCGTCTACATCGGCACTTTACCGCGTAAGGGTAAGAGTAGGTCCGGTTGACACCCGGCTCGCAGTCCTGTAGCTCCACGGTCCGCCACTTTACCTCTTCGTACGAGCACATCTTGTGATGCGACACTTTGTGCGGCGGTAGTAAAATGGGCACCTGTGGAATAATATATGATGCGGGCATAAATAATGTGTTGTATGCAACCAAGTATTGTCAATGACCATAATGGGCTTTGTTATATAAGTAGCGGCAATGTGACGTGGCTGGGTTTATTCTGGTATGGGACGTCCTACGTACAAAGGGCCTCTAAAACAGGTTTCTTATGCACGAAGACGATTAACATGTATACTCCCGGAGCAATATTGGGTTGACGTTCTAATTTGCTGCCGAACCCGAACCAAGCCAATGTTCGGATAAAAATTGTCGAATCGAAACCGAACCCGAACGCGAACTGAGTGCGGGCTCACTATCAGCACTAGAAAAATATCACATTTCATTCAGGCCGTAACAAATCTAAGTAACTCGATCTTAATCCTCGATCTCTACTAGTATCTCTGGTGGCGTTTCTATAAAGCTGATGTTTTTGTGGGGTCGTTAGTTGAATGAAAGACGATGCACATCGGTCATGAGTGTTCGTGATGCATGGATTGTATGGTCACATACACTGACGTGAATTCAATTCAGATATGTATTGTTCATCAAAAGTCACATCAAGTGTCACGTTTTTAATCGTTCCTTTCTCTCCCCCTTTTTCTTCTCACTCTCTTTTTGCGGTCGAGGTCCAGGGATCAACATGCGCAAAGACTAGCTCTTAATCTCAGCAAAACCGGAAGAATCTTTAGCCGACATTCATGACATGGTATCAATCTGGGCCACTACAAGTTTGTTGAATTTGTCTTCCTTCAACACCTTTACCATTAACTCAAAATAGAGCAATATATTGAACTGTGTTTTTATTCTTGTAAAACCGTGCTTCAAACTTACTATTAAAACCTCTGTAAAATATGGTTAATTCTCTTGTCAAGCATATCTGTTACATTTTTGTGCCTTCGAGCAGTGTAAAAATCAACGGATGTCGGAAATTTAAATGAGTGTCGGCCATCTTGAACGTAAAAAATAAAAGGCCCACCTCCTCACCCCAAAAAAACCCAGACACTAGGACGCTAAATATGTTCTTATTTTTACTTGGCCTTATGATTTTTGACCATGGTCTCTAGAATATAAGTATTGGCGAGTTAAACATGGCGCGGCGCAAGTGAACGCCAACTCTAATAATATGACGTAATAATTATAGAGATTTGTGTGTACTTCGTAAAGGTTGAAAACAGTTAAACTCGCTAGTTCTGTTTTGTGATGTCAGAGTCGCTTTGGACTCACAATATAAACCGACATTTACCTGACAAGCACAACTACATGTGTGCAAGATAATACTGGCGTAGCGTGTGCATATTGGCAATCATTTGGTTGAAGGGGTATTGAGTGCGCGCTAGAGCGGGGTACCACCGCTTCAAAGCGTTTTATACTGTTTTTTTTTTTTTTTTTTTTTACAAACGCGGATCAGCCTCTGTTAAATTCTGATTGTCAGTGGCAGTTGAATCCGGAAAGCTGTCCGAACGCTTGACTGCAACACCCATTCCGTTCTAGTTAGCTTTGTTAACGGTCAATTTTATTGCCATTTTACAGAGCAAGAGTCAGTCTGATGTCAACAGTGTGCACACAGATGCATGTGACATCAGACAAATATCTATCCAATGCATGGAACCTCCAACAAATAAGCTATTACCAGCGCCTTCTGCGAGCTAGCCAATACTGCATCAAAAGGTCGGGGTTACGACAACGGTTACTGAAAATGAATAATAAATACCTAAGCCAGTTTACCCATTCCCATTGGCCGATTTTAAACGGTTGATAAAGACATGGCTGGCTGGTCTTGAAATTTTGACTCCTGTGAAATCCGGTGCCAGCACCATTTTATTGATTGAACGTTCGCAATCCTCACGTAGGCATGTGCAATACTATATACCAGTGAGTCAGTGGTCAGTCCTAAATTCACACTACACCGGTACATCTGCGTTGTGCGCCACATCACGCAGTCTACACGCAGCGCGCGCGTCAATCTCCATATAAGGAGCTCTTTACAAGAGGGCCTTGCCATTGTATAGCTAGCGGGGTATTTCATTGATCAAAATCGTTGAAAATGTTTAATATTTGACTTGTTGTTACTTTTGGACCAAAAAGTTGATTTATTTTGACCGAAGATGTATTTATGAATGGGAATAAATAATTGCTTGGTCGGTATAGTGCTGATACCTCATGACGTCACGCTTTCTTTACACGTGCGCTTTCCTATGTGGTAGACGGTCCCCCCTTCGTCTGGCGGCCCGACTTCGCTCCCATACGAAAGCGCATATGTAAACAAAGCCATTACGTCATTAGGTCTAAGCACCCGATTTCATGAAACTCATCGTAAACTGCGATCCATTTCACAAAACACGTAAGTGCGACGCGTCGTAGGTGTATTTATAGCACAACGCAGTGACTGTTTTATGTATTAATTCAGCGTACAGTAAATAGTCATCTGATATGCAACAAAGAGTGGTCGGATCTCCGCTCAAAATTTGTAAAAACGTAAAACAAAATGGCGGCCGTGTGATGCAATTTTAAAGGGAAAAAAGCTCTGATATCAGTGGACTGTTTAGCTACTTCGAAATTTCAAATGCAATATTCCAGGCTAATTCATAGCTATTTAATGAATTTCTATTTACAACTTTACACACATTGCCTTGGTATTGTTATCTCGTTTATGTTATGTTTACGGCATAGAAATGGCTCGGAGTAGGACTCTTCTTTTTTTGCGATGACTACTAGACACGTCGTAACTTGCGACGTGTTTTAAGCCGTTGTCAAACAACTTACGACGCGGTCAACACATCGCATGTTTCGTGAAATGGATTGTACGACGCGTAGCGAGTTGCGACGTGTTACACGTCGTAACCCGAGTTGCGACGCGTCGCATCGTTTAGTGAAATCTGGTGCAGGTATATTGAACACTCAGATCCAGACAAGTTGGAATCTGGATGCTGATAATTACCCTCGCCTTCGGCTCATGTAATTATCAGCATCCAGACTCCCATATAGACTCTTAAATAGAGTGTTTAAAACGTCCAAATCACACGTTTATGTCCAACACGTAGCTGCATGCTTGCTACGCTGAATATTGCATTTGCTCTGGCTAATGAAGACCCCATGTATTTTCTCCAAGGAGGGATATTTGTAAGACGTCATAATTAAAAAATATATATATGGATGAGAAACTTTTTAAAGTACTGCTGCATGCTCCCGCATCTCACCTCGTAGGATTGACACTGACCGAAGCAGCCTCTGACCAGTATGGCCTGAGGTCTACATCCTGGCACTACCACCTCGTGATCCCGGTATTCTCGTACCCGGCAGCCGGCGTTGGGGCCCCTTCTGAGCTGGACTTCTTTGATGTCTGGGTACCGCAAGCCGCTCGTCAATGACGTAGGAACAAGGAAAAGAATCGCGCTGACCACATGAAGCAGCAGGACTACGGTACTCCATACCAGAGCCATATTTAGATTGTCTGCACCTGTTCCTCAATGTAAGGGGAAGACGCAGCGACTGGGGAAACAAAACACCATCGATTTTTTATTTTTTTTAAATTTTTTTTTTTATCTTATTTAGGATTGTGAACAAGTGCCTTTGCGTAGCCCTCCAAAGGTATAGGATGAGAGCTACTCCGTTTTTCCAAAGTATCATTATGCCCAAAAAAATTAGTATTTTCAGAATATGCACTCGATGAGCCTGTTTTTTTAACGATTTCTGTGAGTTCTTTTTGAAGCTCTGTGAATTTTGACCTGTCAGTAATACTGGAACAACAGCATCCATCAAAAAGAAAACAGTATTCATAACCACGACTCTAGCTACGATATTGTAATAGAGTTTGTAAGAGAGTCAACTCGGGATCTTCAACATTAGCATGCATTTTGCAAGAGGCAATTCACTCGATATATACTCGTGATTCTAATATTTGGCCCACGTTGACGCCATTAACTCGCTGAATAGCCAAACCATATGTAACATTCATAGGGTCTTAGAGTGAAAATGTCCCAAAAGCAAATTTTATGTGTACTTGTGTAAAAACTGCTAAAGTCATTGACCTGAAGGACATTGGTTACACAAGAACACTACTGATGTATGTCAACTTTGGTAGTTGATAAGGTTTCTGATTTTAAGCAAAATCGTTTATTTGATTTGGTCGACCCGGATTAGATTTTTTTTTTAAATTGTGTTGATGGAGATTTTTGTTTTTCGTTATTGACAAAATTTGGGGATTTTTTTAAGCGAGCTAAATGCTGAGAACCATTTATGTTAAGAACTATGATCGCCATTAATTATTGACCAAGAGAAATATCAAGACACAGACATTAGACAACAAAGAAATCGTGGGTTCAAATCGCAAACAATTTCTCGACCGACAAAAACTCATCCCGTCAAATAAAGAAAAGTCTTACGCAAAATTCATGTTATTGATAATGAATGATTTAAAGTTTGTAATGCATGGCGATAATTATAGGTCGAATACGTTCAAAATCAATTGTTTGTCATTTTCATAAATAGGTTCCATTATCTGAATTTGATATCGCAAGGTACAAAATACTTTAAAGTTACTTACCTTGTATCTTGCAATAATCCTCTTGAATCCAAAACGAAAGTATTTGCTCTGAATCAAAAGACAACAGGCCTCATCGGAGGACGTCCACGCTTGTCTTCTCCTCCAATGGTTTCTTTTTAACAAGATGGTGGCTCTGCAAACACGACGTTCTGCAACACTGTCTGGCGGGAAGTTGTAACGATCAGGAGTGAGTAGGCGCTAGGATGTTGATATATACGTGTGATATAAAGGGGATTGTGTTAATGCCAAAGGCCTTAGCAGTCCCAGGCGACTTGCAGAGCGCGGGAATACTCCACGATTTGGATCTCCATGCCACAGGCGGGCAAGCTTACCCTTGCAAAAACTTGGAGATGGTTAAATCAAGATAGAATGGTGCTCAGGGGTTCTCTGTGAATATTATAAGATAACATTCAACTCCAGTTGGACTGTAATGTGCTGCCCGTTGTTTGGTTGGTTTTGCGCACATATATACGACATGGGACCACGCGGGCAAAAACGCGCGCACTTTCCAGAAAGTCCAGTCGCTTTTTATAATGCCCCACATTGTGATTATGGAAGAGTCTTGCACACTGATGTGGCGTTTAAACGCGTCATTTGGCAATTTCATGCAAGATGGAGGGTCAATTGCGGTTGGTGCCTGACGATCATGCCTAGAGGAGCGTATTAAATCCGAGGCGACATTTGGTGACAACTAGCGTGCATCGTTGCAGAGTTTACCCATTCGTGTTCCGTAACTGTAGGGACTACACACGAGTGTCCCATGGTATTATTGGGACCAAAGACGCTATGGGGACAAAAGAAACTCATCCTAATTTCCCTAACAACAAACAACTTCCCTGATAACGCGGTGACGGCGCGTCAAATTCAACAGTCGACATACACACGTTGGTGGGAAATTTGTCAGAAATTTAGAAACTTCCAAACCGTGGTTGTTGTTTTTTAAATTGTAAGGGTAGAAAATTATTTAAAAATATTACGAAAAGGAATAAATGTTAACTGTTGGAAAGTTTATCACTGGCTCCAGTCCGTCGCAGTGACGTTAAAGCCTGTTCATACTTCATGCGAAAGCGAAAGCGAAACGAGTTTCATGACGTCAACAGTTGAAGTTTCGCTGTGCCATTTGCAGTTAACCTGTCGACTTCGCTTCGTACTGAAATTCGCATGAAGTGTGAACTAGCCTCCAAGACAGTCGGAATAAAATTGTCGTTATGAAATATGGAAATGCAACAATTGATATTCTGCTCGTGGAGCAGAGTCAGTGGTGCACGGAAGTACGTCACGTATGCGTTGTTCATTCCCTAGAAACGGACAAATATGGCGGCCGGACAGCGGAAACCTCATTAAGTGGATTATCCGTTGACTTTATTTGAAGTCTAAAGGTAATCATTTATTGAGTTCATTGCGACTGTTGAGGATATAATTTTAGCCGAACTTTTTGGAGTTTTGCAATTGACTAAAAAGCAGTAAATCGCAAACTAATACCTAATCCGAAACGGGCGTTTTGTCAGTGGCCACGGCCACGGCTACGGGCGTCACATGAGGATCGTGATGGCCCGTGGTTGAGCGTTCGATTAGCCCGGCTATCGTGGCTGACCCGTCTACCTTTATCCATGTTGAACCGGGTGGCGGTTTTTTTCTCCCAAACGACATCCGCATATGGGTGTAAGCTATGGCGTTTTGCACCTTAATTTTTTTAAAACTAAGAAGAAAATATAAAATTAGGAAAAAACCAATTTGAACGTTATGAAATTCGAACTCTATTTCCCTTTAAAAAATGTCCTCCTAAGCCTAAGGTTAGAAAAGAAAAAAAAATCGGGTACAAAACCGTGGTTCAAACCCGCAACCTCAATGTGCGAAATAACGACCCTGTATCGACTGAGCTATCGCACTACTCGCCAAAACGTGGGGGGAAATAATTATGTACCTGCGTACGTATCATAAAAGTATCGTAGAGGGCGCTAAACAACCATGTATATGCGGATGTAGTTTGGGAAAAGAAAATTCGCACCCAGGTGAGCTAAACGCACGCACCCAATAAAGCGTCTATGATATGCATGCAGATTTGGCAAAACAACACTGCGTCTTGACCTCCAGATACTGACCATTCACTGGCGCCTCGTGTCTTTGGTAATCCGATGCTTTATGAGAACAACCTGTTTGGCCGAATTTCTGCTCAGTTGGGTGGTGGTCCCATAAAACATACCTGCATGCAAAAAGTGTGCAAAATGTTCTAAGAACGCGCGTATGTTACTCAAAATGTCTTCTTCACGAAAATTGACTGGCAAAATGCCGATGTACGTGGCATTCTGTATGCATTGACGTCATTTGAGAGATACAAAACACGGCAGTTAAAAGGGGCACTTGTTAACAAAAGAAGGGCATTCTCTATTGCGGGGATATGCGCTGGTGAAAAAGGGCCTTTGAATGGAAAGGGAAGTCTATGGGGGGGGGGGGAAATACCCCCTTACCCCCACCGGCTACGCCTATGCCTTAGTCGACATTTCAGATCGAAATGACGTCACAATTCCGAAAATCTACTTCGATTTCTTGGCGCTTGGGGTCGTATAAAACTATGCATGCATGCTCATATTAAATCAGATGTTGGTTACGGCCCCGTTGAACAACGGATGATGCTCAGACAAGTCGACGCATGAAGAATGCATGATCAGAGTCAGCTTGATAAATGCACGTACATCATGTACATCCCTACTTGCGCACACGTCCTGCCAAAGAGGAATGGTTGACCACTGGTAAAGAACTCTGACAAATGAAAGCTCCAATGTAACCAAGGGTCATCACCGCCTTTGGATAGGATGCAACTTCTTCCTCTTCGTGAGTGACAGGACGAGTAGTGTGCACTTCGTGTATCTATATCTGTATCTGTATTATTTTCCTCCAGGCCTCCAGCAAAACGGCTACAGCCGTATCCCGCTAGAGTTGTGTATACTGATAGTTATTTGTTTCTGGTAACTCCGTGCAGTTGAGTTCCTTTATGGAATAAATGCAAATCATTACCGCACGGTGTGTGGTACAATGTGGTTTGAACGGGGTCCGACTGATAGTCCGAAGGTTCGATTGTCCGAAGGTTTATTGATCCGAAGGTTCGATAGTCTGTACCACAGCTACTTGTGGAGTACTCACACAAAGGGAGATGTAAGGAACAATGCTACCCCTGTACTCACCCTTAGAAAAACGGTACTCCAGACGTGAAATTCTAAAGAAGAAAAATAAAAGGACAACAATGCAAGTACCCAAGAACTCCCATCTGTTGGGATGTCCGAACACACACAATCCGATAAACGGGGGTTAGTCAGAAAATGAAATAAGGCTCGTTAATCCAAGCATTTTGATGCGATAGTCCAACGGTTCGTTAGTCCGAAGGTTCCATAATGCGAAGGTTCGATAATCGGAAGATTTGGTAGTCAGAATTTAGAATAAGCTTAATTAGTCCGAAGGTTCGATAGTCAGGGAAATCAAGGTTCAATGTCCGAAGGTTCATTAATCCGAAAGCACCCCAGGTTCAAAAGTCTGAATGCATGAACGTAACGTTGACCGGAGATTGTGCTTACAAGCCGCCGTCACACACCCTCCTAGCCATGTGGTTGCGAAGGGCGATTTCTAAAGGTTACGTAACACTTTATTTTGAATGAAAATACATGTACACAGACATGTTCACACAGGCGGGCAAAATCTTTGAAAATTAGTTTCTCCCGCTTGGAAGATCGTATCTTCATGCAACTTTCAGGGTTTATGTCTCTTATAATGATCCAATTAAGTGCTAAAAATCGTTTTGATATGTCTACTACTTTTCGTTGAAATTGGAAAAATAGGCCTGGCTATGTGCACTATTGAAAGTTTTAACACTGGCGTTTGCAATATCTGTCAATCTTTTCAAGCCTCACGAATATTAGTAAGGTGCCTGTCCGTTATGGTGTGTAGTAAAATTTATATATTAAATATCACCGTTTTTGCCGGCTTCCATTGGTCGATACCGAGTCCCACGCCAAGTCACGCCGAGTGACGCCAATGAATAGGCTAATATCTGCTTTGCATCATGTTGCTGGGCAGAAATCGGTCAACCATAGCGCCTACGGCGCTCAGGGTCTTTGCTGAAACCACGTGTAGTTGGGTTGGGTCGGCAACAAAATCCCCGTCAAAGTTTTCCTTGGAGATAGTTTAAGGTGTAACACTAATTGATATAAGTGTTCAACTACACGTGAAATAACAATTTGAGTAGATTCCTAGAAATGTGATAAATACAAATATTTGGGGAAATTTTCGAACGATTTCTTCCCGACTTGAAGGTCAGCTTTACCAGTAACCAGTATTGATGTGTCGGCATCGATGACGGGGATTTTTTTCACTGACACGAAGTTTAGAATTTCCTCTTCGGTTATAATTAAACAGTTCAATTACACTGGGCATAATTTTGTGAGAAACACAACGTTCAAAAGGCCATGTTTTTTTGGGGTGCCTGAATTTTACTGCTCTGTTATAGCTTCTAAGTACGTAATCGGAATAGCTTTGCCTGACAACCGGCCACGCTTCGCCTTCGCAACCATATGGCTGCTCCCACTCGAAAATCACGCTGCTCTGATCTGCCATTCCCCGAAAACTGAACAAAATAAACCCACTAAGTTTCCAGTAAAATACGGTGTCTTATATAGCGCGGTAAATAGCGAACTATATACCACGTGACTACAACATAACTGCACATATTTTCCTCCATTTACAAAATGTTCATAAACAACTTTACGCATTTTTACAAACAATTTTTGTTATGTATTAAATTTATTTTGTTTGCTTTTTTTTTTGAAAAATTAAAATTTGGTAGTTATATCTCATGGGATTTTTTTTTTTTGGGGGGGCTCGGTTTTGGTCAATTGTCCGGAGACAGACCGACCGACCGACCGACCAAAGTGACAAGTAGAAGCTCCTGCCAGAGCTTAAAAATTTCCCCGAGTCCTTGTTTGTAGCCAATGACTTGGCAACATCATTGGATAAAGTAGAGTGCGCCTCCAACGGTAGCCTTTGCTTGTATTACGTTGTCGCTATAGGAATGTGGGATATGACACCCTTTAGATTTTGTTTAGTCTACATGCTCGTTCTGTTTGGCAAATCAATGTCGATGTCATTATACGAAACAACTGATAGCGCCATCCAGTGTCAGATGGTGTCTAGTCCAAAATTCTCAACTGGCTGTTTGACTATCCAGAGTGGTCTGACGGCAATTTTATTATTGTCCCATCCCCCCACCTTTAAATAGGTATGGCAAACTGCTTGGATCTTATGCATTGCAAATGCTGGGCAGTGCAGCAACCTTCGAATGCTTTAGTCGTCTCTTCTGTAATCTAAGTCTGTAAAAGTTACTCTTTTTGAAACTGCAAAATATTATGCCCAACGTATAAATGACTTGCCCGTTCGCTGCACTCCCTCATATCGGGCTGCTTGTATACTGTGCAGTTCTCGATCGGGACCGCGATGA